ACAATAGTTCTTTCTAAGCAGAGTATTTAAAACAATAGTTCTTTCTAAGCAGAGTATTTAAAACAATAGTTCTTTCTGGTAAAATTAACATATTAAACACAAACACAGAAAAATATTCTGACACCACAATAAAAATGGAAGAAAAAGCTTGTGTGTGTTCTTTTGGCTAACAAAAATCTTTGATTTTTAGATTGTATATCAGTATTAAGAAGACGCAGCCAGAGACTCACATTAGTAAAATGGATGAAGTTGAGAACCTGAATTAGGAAAGTTCTAAGCACTAAGGAATAGAGAGCAATGACAAACCATAGTGTCAGCCCTCGGAATCAGGGAGGAAAAGTTACTGATTAAACAGAATTAAAATTTATCAACAATGAGAAATAATGTAGCTAGTATCTCATGGTTTGTGAATTTAGAGCCAGACATGTCTAATACCTTAGTCTACATTTTATTATCAGAGTCAGCTTTAGGCTTTTTACATTTATATGCGAGTATATCATAAACAAAAAACAGAAATTCATAGAACTTCCAAAACATGGCAAGAGTTACTATTCCAACAACCTTTGTCATTTTGTTTCCTGATGATAGCAGATATAAACCTGATAGAGGATAATATAATAATGTAGACATGTGTACGAGCCAATGAGAACCAGAAAGTAGCAACCCATAAGTGCTCACTAAAGCCTAATATTTTAAATACAAATAAAGTTTTCAATTTATGGTATTCAAGAATAGACATCTAATAGATTTTCAGTAAACTTAAAATGCATAATAATAATACATTGTACTTGTGGCAGATAGATCAAGTCAAATAAAACCTAGGACCTACTTATGGCTAGAACAAGGAGATTTGGTTTGGTTTGTTTTGAATTTCGTGCAAAGCTACACGAGGGCTATCTGCACTAGCCATCTCTAATTTAGCAGTGAAAGTCTAAAGGGAAGGCTGCTAGTCAGCACCATCCACTGCCATCTCTTGGGCTACTCTTTTACCAACAAACAGTGGGATTGACCATCACATTATAATGTCCCTACAGCTGAAAGGGGTCAGCATGTTTGGTGGGACATAGGTTCGGACCCCTGATCCGTAGATTACGAGTTGAGTGCCCTAACCACTTGGCCATGCCGAGCCAGAACAATGAGAAGAAAAGAAAAAGTCCTGATATTAATTCTTAAACATTACCTAAAAAATCAAAAATATGCAATAACAGCATTAAGTTCATATATCAAATGTATACATGTTTCAAAAACTAATTTATATTTGTTAAATTAACCTTTGTAACCTAGTGTTCAATTAATACATTAAACTGTTGCAAATGTTTTGGTAACTAAATCTAAATTAATTTATTTTATTGCAAACCAACCTTTTTATTCTTTATTTGCGATATTTTAATTGTGGTGCCAATGTATTACCTCACACGTAAAGTTTGTCTGTCATCTTTAAAAAATAGACTGGCATAAGAAACAAGTTAAATTTAATTTTAACAGAACAGTACAATTTTATAAAAGTATCTGTTGCACATTGTTAAGAAAGTTGTTATAAAACTATCTGTTGCACGTTGTTAAGAAAGTTGTTATAAAACTATCTGTTGCACATTGTTAAGAAAGTTGTTATAAAACTATCTGTTGCACATTGTTCAAAAAGTTGTTATAAAACTATCTGTTGCACATTGTTAAAAAAGTTGTTATAAAACTATCTGTTGCACATTTTTAAGAAAGTTGTTTGACATACCTGGAACTGTACTCGGGATTAGCTTTTCAGAGTTGTTAATATCTATAGAAAAAAATTATTAAAACCTTCAAAAATTCACATTTAAGTAATTAAACAATCATCAGCAAAAAACACTACAGAACACAGAAGCCACAATATGCTTTATATAAGATTTTTTACTGGATATTCACATTCAAAGTATTTGAGGTTTAAATGTTATGCTTTAAAAAATGTCCACATGGAGCTTCATGTAATACAACCTAACTACAAAACACAGAGGTTATAACGTGAAGCCTCAAGTGATCTAACTGCCAAAGTAATAATATCAAAAAAAAAAAGATCTACAATATTGTTTACTCCTACAGAACATACTTTTCAAATAGTGAAATATTTACAACTTCGACAGTTAAGATACTATACGACAATAAGAGATAATGCGGAAACCAATTCCACAGAATTTAATGCCAGATAAATGTTTAACTTACTAGCAAGTGCTACACACACTTGTTTTTCTTGAAGGTCTCCGCAAGTGTCTCCTATGAGCAGTTTTGTGTGTTGAATAATGCCTTGGGTGACTTTCTGTCCACTTTTGTCGCATCTCTCTCTCGCTAGAGAGCTTACACATTCCTCATAATTAATAAAAGCACTGAAAATACAGGAATGACAATCATATTTAAGTAATTAATTATATACATTAGCTATAAAATTTCCGTAGCTGGATAAGCCATTGTTATTTAAGTTTTATTCTTTCATTAAAACAGCTTATATAATAATACAACTTTAAACGATATACTATCAAGTAGCAATTAATATAATAATACAGCTTTAGATAATATATCAAGTAACAATTAATATAATAATACAGCTTTAAACGATATACTATCAAGTAACAATTAATATAATAATACAGCTTTAAACGATATACTATCAAGTAGCAATTAATATAATAATACAGCTTTAGATAATATAATATCAAGTAACAATTAATATAATAATACAGCTTTAAACAATATAATATTAAGTAACAATTAATATAATAATACAGCTTTAAACAATATACTATCAAGCAGCAATTAATAAAATAATACAGCTTTAAACAATATAATATCAAGTAACAATTAATATAATACAGCTTTAAACGATATACTATCAAGTAGCAATTAATATAATAATACAGCTTTAAAAATATAATATCAAGTAGCAATTAATATAATAATACAGCTTTAAACAATGTAATATCAAGTAGCAATAAATATAATAATACAGCTTTAAACAATGTAATATCAAGTAGCAATAAATATAATAATACAGCTTTAAACAATTCTTATACAACATCTGATAAAGTAAAATATAAAGTCTTCCAGACTTATCATTCAATGACTACATCCCTACACTTGTACAGCACAGATAATCATCTGACACCTTACATGATGCATATATAAATACGTAGCATGTCAAATGTGCTGGAGAGGGTCCTAATAAAGTAACCAGTCACACATTAAGAACATTGCAGCACTACTTACTGGTGTAAGTGCATATATTTTTTAATTTATTATGAAAAATATCATATTAAGTAACCTGACTTAATTACATTATGTATTTCTCAATTTGGTTTGACAGTTTGTTGTTTGTTTAATAAGTGAAACAAAGGAAATAATAATAATAAGTCTAGAGAACAGTAAGTTAAAAATAATCTTAATATTCAGTTCATGTTACTAAAAAACTACACAATGAAACATCAGAAGTTATTCAAATTCAAAGCTACTTGTGAAATTAGCTGTGGGCACTGTAACAATAATAAATTCGAGCACTGTAACAATAAAAAATTTGAGCACTGTAACAATAAAAAGTTCGAGCACTGTAACAATAAAAAGTTCGAGCACTGTAACAATAATAAATTCGAGCACTGTAACAATAATAAATTCGAGCACTGTAACAATAATAAATTCGAGCACTGTAACAATAATAAATTCGAGCACTGTAACAATAATAAATTCGAGCACTGTAACAATAATAAATTCGAGCACTGTAACAATAAAAATTCGAGCACTGTAACAATAAAAATTCGAGCACTGTAACAATAAAAATTCGAGCACTGTAACAATAATAAATTCGAGCACTATAACAATAATAAAATCAAGCACTGTAACACTAAATTAGAGCACTGTAACAATAATGAATTGTTTCTATCTAATAATACTTACCAACAATTCTCGATCTTTGCAGATGAGGAATAGGTTTCATCAGTTTTTATTTTTTTACTGAATCCTTCTTTGCATTTCTCAAACTCTCCTTTTAACTTTAATATACAAGCAGCACCACTCAGAATACCTGAAAATAATTAATAAAACTACTGAATAGCAAAACATTACAAACATTGTACATTATATTATAACCATTTTGGAGCTTCACCACGTCATTACAGGTCACGTTACCACGTCTGCTCATGCTCTGTTTGACAAAAATGCATCTTGAAAATGGCCCCGCACTACAGTTTCCATGGCAGAAGGCTCCATTGTAAGATTGCCATGGCTTTATATCAATTGTTGTCGTTGACTTGCATATTAGAAATGTGACATATATTCAACCCTGTATATCACGAGTTTTTTGTGTAAATCAAAACTGCCACAAGTTTAAATATAAATCAGTAGATCCAATAGACTTTTCATTACAAAGAGAAACATACTGAAATATTTATAAGATAAATAGGACCAACTTGCAAAAGATGAACAAGTTTAAAGTATAAACTGTAAATTAAAGTCACAGTTAAGCTGTAAAATAATCTTTAGTAGTATTTTAGACAATTTTAAGTTCAATGAAAAAAATGGTTTTGTCCGACAAATAAACTTCAAATGTTATTAAGCACTTTTCTATATTACAGCCTCTTATTGGATCAGTCTGAAACTTGATTACAATTTGTCACTACACTTTAAAACTTTATTACAGATTATGGTATTATAAACAACAAATGTTAATCGATGTGTTCGAGGGAAAACGAAGTTTGATTATAAACGAGATTATGACACTTATGATATACAACACTGTTTATTGACAAAAAGAGGACATGGATAAACGTTTCGGAATTCTTTCAGAATTTTTCTTCAGTATCTAAAGCAGAATAAAATTAATTTACATTAGTCTTTATACATTTTCAAAGTACAGTTGCTAAACATAACGATAATTAAACAAATAAAACACTAAACAGTAATCATGGGGAGAAACTACAGCAAGAAAACCCGATGAAAAAAAAAAGGTAGAATCAGTAATACGAACAGTATTAACGAAATATAAAATTAAATATAAATATTAAATACATAATTTAAAAAATTAGTTCATTTAAATTAAACATAGCAAGAGTTACCTTCTTCTCTGCCTCCTTGGTCAGCTAAACGTTCCATCTTAGGTAAGACCCTTGCTTTATTGTAGTAATCCGAACAAGTCCAAGACAACTTTTGTGCTTCATCAATGAGGTAGGATGTAAGAAACACGTGAGCTGAAGGTTTACAACTATTTATAACAATGTTTCTTATACAGTTCTCAAAATTCCAATAATGTCTGAAAAAAAAAAGCAATAAAAGATTATACATTAGCTCCTTTTTTTTCTTGTGTTTCGTAATAGAATAATTTTGTATATGCTTGAAGTTTCAAATTACTTTTAAACAGTACTGTACAGAGCCTGCACTTCAAGCAACGACAAGTACTAAAAACAAAATATTTATAAACGAAGTGCAATAAATTTTTGTAATTTCACGACATAAAACATAACTATTGTTGGAATTCATTTACTATTGATTTACCATACTACATATAAACACGAACCAAAATGTTAGTTAGGTTGATTTACCATACTACATATAAACACGTACCAAAATGTTAGTTAGGTTGATTTACCATACTACATATAAACACATACCAAAATGTTAGTTAGGTTGATTTACCATACTACATATAAACACGTACCAAAATGTTAGTTAGGTTGATTTACCATACTACATATAAACACGTACCAAAATGTTAGTTAGAAGACACAACTACATTTACCAAGAAAATCTCAATTTCAAATAAAACAATATCATTTCTTTATAAGTATGGTTTGCTATTACTTGACCTTTAAAAAAAACCAAAATGCTTACCTATCTGCTATAAAGAGGCAAGATGTACTGTTTTTTGTAACTACAATGAAACAGTTAACACCTACGTACCCTGGCGCAGGTTCGTCTGTTATGGACTTTTTTATTGAACGAATGTATTGAAAATCCTAAACATTTGCCTATCGATTTCCAACAGGTTTTATGTTCTTCATAACTTGCAATATTTCTGATTAAAACCTGTCTATAAAGAACAACTAAATCTTGTTTGTGATTTTCTAAGATAAGTGGTTATAATAAAAATATCTAATTTACGTAAAGTATAGCTGATAAACAAATTTAAAACTCTACCAGAATATGTGATAAGTATATAGAAATAATTTGGCAAAACCAAGTTATCCCAGAACACTAAATGTCAACACTAGCTACAGCTGACTGATTCCTAGTCAGAGATATGATAACAGATTACTAAGTAACACTGGGTGTCAATATTAACTACAGCTGACTGATTTCAAGCTAAAGATATGATAACAGATTACTAAGTGACACTGGGTGTCAATATTAACTACAGCTGACTGATTTCAAGCTAAAGATATGATAACAGATTACTAAGTAACACTGGGTGTCAATATTAACTACAGCTGACTGATTTCAAGCTAAAGATATGATAACAGATTACTAAGTAACACTGGGTGTCAATATTA